TTCACTTTAGTCATTCTGTGGTGGTTAAATATTTTAAAAATAATTATACAAAGTTGCTGTTTCCTGTCATTTTTAATATTCCCTCTAATAATTCTCCAGCTGCGCTGACGCATCAAGCGCGCGCGCGCACACACACACACACCACAGCCCCTCTGCTGCTCGCCCCTCTGCGTTAGAGAGAGAGGGAAAAAAAGAACGAAACTTCCACACGTTGYTGTTTCGTGTCATTTTTAATATTCCCTTATTAATAAATCTGCCTGGTGATTAATCTTGTGGTCGCTCAAATTCTGTGCGCGGATCCGTTTCTGGTTTACCGGCGCAGCTTTTACAGTAGGTAGGTGATCTAATGTCAAAGGAAACCCACAGACCATTTACCTGCAAGTTTCACTATACCACGTGATACCGCCAAGCAGAGCGAGGACGAATGAGAGTTTGAGAAAAATTACACAGACAAATGCAAAAATGCCCTGACGGAGCAKTTTGTCAGGACTGATCCTTCCACTTTCTGGCTCCAGATGGTTCCTGATTCTGCTTTCCCAGGTCTGAAGCAAGTAACCTTACAGATCTTGACCATGTTTGGCTCCACTCACAACTGTGAAGCAGCTTTCTCCACAATGAACATAATAAAAAACAAATACCGTTCCAGGCTGACCAATGAGCACCTCCACACATGCATGAGAATGGCTCTGACTCCATTCAAGCCCAGGTTTAAAATTCTGGCAGGGCGAGCAAGAGCTCACTTCTCTCACTGAGCACAAAATAAATAAGGGACTGCATAAAAATGTTTTATTATTAAATGTGTTCAGATTTAAATTCTTTAAATATTTTTGAGAAAGTTCAGTCCAGGTGTTGAACACAAAAATGTAAATCAACCTTTTCCTCCATTTTTTATGACTGGTTAGTCACTTGTGAACATTTACAGTTGTCCTTTTGCCCAAGTTCTTATTTTGACATGTTATCCTACATTTGCTCAGTAAATGAGAACATCAGAAATCAGACGTACATGTTCAACTTTGTGCTTCGTGACAATAAATATTGTAAGTTTTTGAATAAGAGTGAATTCATTTCAATGCATGCAGATGTTGATACAACAATAGCTACACACAAACGCACACACATATATATCAGTCTGACATTTTGATCTTCCGGACCTTGGTCTCATAAAATGTTCTCTGACTGGACCTCGTTAAATTTTAATTGAATACGCCTGCACTAAAACAACACATTGTATACAAATATGGCCAAAAACATTTTTTCTTTTTTTATTTTGATTGTGAATAGAAATTTGAACCATACTGACTTTTTCATCTACATCTATTTCTTTAAATTGGTACTTTAATAATTTGCTGGTGATTACCATTAGGCATTTACTTTCTAAGCTCATGTAGATTTTAAACTCCTTTGATGCAGTTATTTTTAAATATCTGTGTTCTTGTTGCAGTTGTTTTACAAACCACTCACCTATGACGATCAGTGTGTAGTTGACGTTCACGCTACCGAACCCGTTGGTGGCTTTACAGATGTAAGTGCCCGCGTCTTCCGTCTCCACTTCCTTAATGCGCAGAGCGTTCTGTAACACCCTGAACCGCGTCCAGCCGCTGTGGATGTGGCGTCCATCTTTGGTCCACATCATCAGGGGAGGCGGGTCGCCCTCCACGGGGCACRGCAGCTTAGCGGTGCGACCCGCTCGGACGCTCTGACGGTGCGTCACCTTCTCCGACACCCTGGGGGGACCTTAGGGGTAAAAAGAAGAAAGGATATAAGCAAAACGCAGCTCGCCTGAATCAGGTCTGCAGGATTCATTATTGTTTGATTAACACGACTCCCAATTATTCTAAGAATTTAAAGAGGGGTGTTTATGTGTTTTCCAGACACATAGTTTAATTCTACTTTCAATTGTTATGAAAAAGTTGTATATATCAAAAATAAATTTGAATTTGCATCATCTAAATGCCTTGAAATTGGCTGTCTTTTTTAAAAAACCTCCTACCATTTCTGACACGCCCACTTCAGCACAGCTTCACAACAATGATTTAGCGGGGAGGGGTGCTCAGTGGGGCAGGAGCTCAGCTACAGACTGAGCTCCTGCCCCACTGGCCTCCTGCTCATCCAGGGAGGAGCTAGGTACAAATAGGCGGAGCTTTGTACCAGCAAACAWTCAGGCAGCTCCACGTGGCTTACCACATGAGATTCAAGGATTTCTCAAACATGCATGAATGAATCATGCATWCGTTTTTGATGAGGGGGATGACATTTTAACATGATTGCATTATGGGGGGTAAGAAAATATTGATACACTGAAATATTGCGATATTTCATTTCCCGATACTGTATCGATATTCTAAAGCTCTGTATCGATGTTTAATTCAGGTTTRAAAAGTCAATTTTCCTGCCAGCCGTTCATTTTTATGTTGTAGTTCAGCCTCTGACCACTAGTTGGCAGCAGTGAGCCAGCCATTACAGCAAAAAAAATAAATAAATAATCGCAATATATCGCAATATATCACCTTGCTTACAGTATCGCAATATATCGGGATATATCGTATCGTGACCCCTCTGTCATGATTTGTATCGTATCGCCAAATTCTTGCCAATACACAGCCCTATTGCATTATAGCCAATACCTTTAATAGAAGTATTTTGGTTAGTTTCTTGTATTCATTTTGCCTTTYATGTAAAAAGCTTTTTTAGCTTTGAAGAGAACCTGAAGCACAAAGTACAACAGGGACCAACGGGGAAAAAAATCTGATATGCTTAGCTTGTAGAATCATTTCAGGAAAACAGAACATGAAAGAAAATGGTTTAACCCACACAGAATTCATTTATCTTTTTTTATTATTTATAGTAAATAAGCCTTGAGGTCACAACTAAACCACTGACATTTTAACACAGGACAGGCTTCCTCTCGGAGTGAAACCCACCCCGAGCAGTGGGTTTATTACTGACGCAGATAACAAAGTCAGGCGTGACATTGACCGCTCGGTAGCCAGACAAACTGTGAAACAGCACACTAGAAAAACAAAGGGGGGTGGAAAAAGTAGAATGATTGAAGTGGAAAGGTGGGAGTAAACGATGGAGCGAGGGAAAAGGGATGAGGGGCAGGGGAAAAGAAAAGCTGTAGAGGAAGTAACGTAACAAGCAAAGAGGAAATGAAAGGGAATAAGGGAGCAAGTGAAGGAGGTAAATGACAAACAGGGAAAACAAAGGATGGAAACTGAAGGAGTTAACAAGGTTCAGTGCTTACTCCTGTACTGTCATGTATTTTAGGTTAAAACAATACTTTGCCAACATTGAAGGAAAAACACATAATGGGTCACAATGTGGCAAACAATGTTGTAGCAACAAAAAGGCAAGTGAGGGAAGTTCTCCACAAAACAACTGACCTTAGGTCATGTCCCAGGGCTTCATGACCTGCTGGACATGACCTGATACAGACCTGACATTTTGAAAGGACAAAAGCATTGTTTAACTTGAACATGCATGAGAGAGCCAAGCAGAAAACATTAAACACAGTCTGGGAAAAAGGTTAAACTAAATGCTGTAAAATACAGATTTATATTATTTCATAAAAGACTTATGTATTTTCTAAAAGTAGGGCTGGGGACACAGCAATCTAGATCTCAACATTTTCTACTTTTGAAGCTGATTCTACTGTTTTTGTGCAACTTTGTATGGTTACAGGAACTTCTAAGTGATGTTTCTAAATGCTGTTCTTTAGAGAAATCATAAAAAAGTTGGAGCAGTGATGGATACGTTTAGGTAAAATGTGTAAAAAACAAATTAAACACTCCGACTCACTTACAGGCCTCCTCTTTTTTCACTCTGATCTCAGTTTTAGGCGAAGGAATGTGTTCATTCAGCTTAACAGTTTCCTCAGTTAGAGCGCGTTCCTTTTCTCACCAAATACAATTTATTTTTTGTTTTTCTCCGTTAGTCCTGTTGGTTTCTTTCTCAGTTCATTCAGGTTCCCCTTTTTCCATCCTTTACCTGTTTTGCCCACGTTTACGACTCCTTTAATGTTACTATGTCTTTCCATTCATTTTTTTCTTTTCTTTTGCCAGCAGATTGAAACCACATTCAGCTGAATTCCTACTACTCCCCTGCTGCATCTTTTTTTTCCTTGCTTTTGGCTCCTCTCCTCCGCTCCCTATCATTGCTTCTTTGCCTTGTCATCACTCATTTTCCCTCCTTCTGCATTTTGGGCTCACTTGTACTCTTTCGTCACTCTCATTCACACCATCCTCCGTGTCCGCAGCGGAGCCTCTTCCTTTTTCTCGAGAGTGATTTACCAGCCTCCTCCAGCTTCCCCCGGTCTCTTCCCCAGAGACCACAGGAGTAGGACCTTTAACTGAACCGCTCAGATTTTGACAGTCGGCCTCCTCCGATATATCTTCCTCTTTTACCTCCCAGCTCTTCTCCTTCCAAATTTCTCTCCACAGTTATGGGAACACAGTGTTTCCTGTCTTCAGACTATAGATCCATGCTTGACATGCAAGTCTTGACGTCTGTTTCTTCGTGGTGAAATTAAAGCAAGAGAAAATAAATTTGTGTCTTCTCTTTTATGAAGCATGGGGATGAGTGTTTACTCACTCAACAGTAAACATGTGTGCAGAAAGACAGTTTATGCACATTTTCTACCACTGATTAATAGTCGGGTCACAGAGGTCCAGACGAGAAACCCAGACATCCCTCTCCCCAGGGACCCTCTCCAGAGCACAGACTAATTATTGCAAAATATCATGTCATCCTAAAGGTTCACATAATRTTCTTTATATTTCCACCAGTTATCCAAGATATATTTATTATACTTAACATTACTTAAGCCTGGTTCACACAGAGAGATATTTGTACCAACATTTGGCCCGACTTGGTCTTTCCAACAGTCAGGATGCTCTGATTATGTTGTTGGCTCTAAAAATAATTTTAAGAGATATTCCTGCTGTGTGTKTKKKGTKWWAAGWGWKMT